AAAAAAGAAAAGAAAAGAAAAAAACCTACCAGATCACAGGGCAGGTGATATAAATTCAGTGGATAAAGTTGCCGCCAATCCTGAAAACCTGAGTTCAAGTCCCAGGTCCCACAGTGTGGGAAGAGTGAACTCTTGAAAGTCAACCTATGCTCTTCACACAGCTACACACTATGGAATGAATGCACACACGTACACCAAAATAAATAAATGTATGTTTTTTTAAATCTCTGAATCACACTGTGCCTTCTGGTGGGTAAATAAGTGATTCTCCAGGAGAAGCAGATAGCAGGTGTGTTACCAGGGAAACAGGCTCCTTTCAGGAGCTCCATCTACATGGTGTCCCAGTTGAACCCAGAGTTCACCTATGGCTGCTCTTGCAGCCATAGATCTTCTGTCTCAGTCTTCAGAGTGCTGGAATTACATGCGTGCTAAGGATCTGAACCCCGATGCTCACACATGGGCAATAAGTACTTTATTCACTGAGCCATCTCTCTACCCTGTGTTCTTTTTACGGGGAGCGGGATTTCTGGGTCACAGGTTAGGTGTCTACTTAGTTGACCAAGTAGCAAACGATCTTTGGAAACAGCCACGTGCCTTTATGGTCTCCCAGAAGACCCATCGAGGCTGCTTTCGGTATGTTGACTGCGTAAGCCGTGCATGCCAGAGGAGAAAATCGGAAATGAGATCGCATGTCTGGAAACTTTCCTGCAGGAGCTGTGCCACTGAAGACCCGGGGCATCAACTAACAGGCTCTCCTTGAGTTTTGTGGGACAGGAAGCGCTTACTAACCTTAGTCCCAGTTTCAGTGGATTGGGTGATCATTTTCTCTCTGCCTGTAACACAAACCACGGAGACGAGATGAGGAAAGATGCCTCGGAAATGCGAGTCTGTGCCAAGCTCATTCATAACAAGCATTCGTTCCACGAAATGCCCAATCACCTGGCCAGACACAATGGGGAAGAGGAGGGATGTGGAAGATTCCGTTCCTCTTCTCTCAATCTCTTGATCTTAGTCTCATTCACAATAAAGGCAGCAACTCTTCCTTTGCTGTGAAGGCAGGTGTACAGGACTGACGTCTGTCTTTTGACTTTTGACCTTTGTGTTTTATTCTGCCCACTCTCTCTGGGCCGTCTCAGCTGTTTCCAAGTTCAAATGACAGCACCCCTGCCTCCGCTCACCTCCAGAGGTCCCACCCACCTCCACCCTCCATTCCTTTCTAATCATAATTTCCGTGCCTCCCATGAGTGAGTATTGTTAGCTTTGCCTTTGGAGTACAGCCACAATCCTGCCATTTCTCCCCATGGCCACCTTCATGGCTCTTGTCTAAGCAGTAGTCACGTCTGATCCAAATTCCTGTTCTCCTGTGAGAAAGCAGTAGCCCAAAGACAAAGAGCTCTCATTGGACTATAAGGGTTGGTCTTGTGAACTGTGTTTAGTGCACAAGATTCAGATGCTGGTTCTGGTGCCTAGAGATCTGGTGGCAGTTGGCCGTGGGCATTGTCATCTCTGTGCAGAATCTCCTGTCTCAATGTTGTGTAAAAAAAAAAAAAAAAAATTGTCCTCCATCATTTCTGATTGGTCAATAAAGAGCTGATCAGCCTATAGCTGGGAAGAGAGGACAGGAGGTAGGACCTCCCAGTCCCTTCCGATCTGATCCCAGTCAGGGGTCCCAGGTTGGGACCATAAGGAAGAAAGTGAAGCAAAGGAGAGAGAAGGTGGCCATGAGGACAGATAAGAGCAGAAGCAGCCAAGGTGAGACTAAGCTGACAAGTAACGCAGGGCACGTGGCTGGGAAGTGGCCAGGCTAGTACAGGCGGCTAAGAGTAGATCAATGTCTGCTTAACTGTAGTGCTTTTGAGGCTTTTAATAAATCTAATAGTCTCTGTCATTATTCGTGAGCTGGAATGGGTGATAGGAAAAGCAACTAATACTTTAAATCAACTTTGCCAGCTCTCTGTTCACTTTTCGGGAATAGAAGGTAGTTTCTCTGACCCAGGGGAAGGAAACCTTAGGAGGTGACATACACAAGTGGGACAGGGTAACGGGAAATGAGCAGGAATGGTGGGACATTAGGCTAGCAACAGAACAAACCTCCTGTCACCTCCAGGGTAGAGAACAGAGAATTTACCAAGCCAGGACAGGCATGATGGATAGTCTTCATCATCCACGTGACTTGGAATAACCTAGGAGACACTGCCCTGGCAGGTCTGTGAGGACACTTCCAGAGTTTAACAAAGAGGGAAGCCCCAGCTTGGATTTGAGCTGTACCAAATTGGGACCCAGACTCAACAAAAAGGAGAAAGTCAGCCCACACTGTTCTTCCTGGTCTTCCCAGATGTGAGGAGTGCCAGCTGCAGTTCAGGCCACCATGAACTCTGCCATGCCTTCTTGCTGTCATGGGCTGGACTCTCTGTGCCCCAAGCAAACCCTTTTTCCCTTAAGTTACCTCTGTCGGGTATTCTGTTCCAGTAATGAGAAAGGAAACACAGCGCATTAATGTGACGTGGGCAACTTAGCCGAAGCTTTGGAACGCACGGAGGGCACCTTCAGCCTCGAGAGGAGGGGACAGCAGAACGGTACCCTTGCTTTGTCTTTCTCAGCCCTGCCCTCCCCATGGACTCAGGGCAGCAGCACAGGGGGGTTGACCTCCGCAGAGCAAATCCGGAACTGCAACGATGGAGGAAGCAGCAAGGAATCCTAGCTCAGGAAACCTCCGCTCTCTCTCCCACTTCTCATGCCTGAGATCGAACACGTGACCCAGGTCTAGACTGTCGGAATATCCCATGCCCCCTTTCTAGAGAGTGACTTAATGATGCAACGGAAGCGGACCTAGACCAATGAGATACAGGATGAGACTTTTGCTGACAACAGGGTTGAAGAAAACGGTTAAGAGAGGGAGAGAAAAGGCTAAGGACCGAAGGCAAGGCTTGAGCCCCTGGGGCCAGCCATTCCTGAAGCTTTGACCTTTGCTGTTAGGTCAACCAACGTGCTCCTTTTGTTAAATTACATGCAGAGAGGTGAGGGGAGAGGATTGAGGGGAGGAGAAGAGAAAACGGCCCTCCCCAGACAGATACATTCTGACCTGCAGAGCCTTTCCCGCCTCTGCGGTGGACTTGTACCTGCCCGCTCTAATTGCCAGCACATCACTGGTCCGCGTAATATATCACAATCACTGTCTCCTCTCTTGGTAAACGCCTTGAACTAACTGTCCCTTAAGCTCGGCCCCCACCCAGCACAGGGCCTTCATGACTGAGGGAAACAGGTATGCAAGGTTGACCCAGGCTTTTAACTTAGAATGGCTCCTAGCCCTTCCTAAGCGCCTATATAAGCAGGGGTAGAGAAGGCGGCAGTTCCCGGCCACGTTGGCCTAAACTGCCATTGTGCGTGTGTGTGATATACACATGTCTTGTGTGTTTGCACACACACACACACAGCTAAGTGTGGAGGCCAAAAATTGATCCTGAGTGTCTTCCTCAACTATTCCACCATTTATTTATTTATTACTTTCTTTGAGATATGATCTCTCACTGAACCCGATATGTTACCAACTGAGCCATCTCAGAAACTGCTGTTGGGGGCTGGAGAGATGGTTCAGTGATTAAGAGCACTGTCTGCTCTTCCAAAGGACCCGGGTTCAATTCTCAGCACCCATATGGCAGCTCACAACTGTCTATACCACCAATTCCAAGGGTTCTGACACCTTCACACTAATGCACATAAAATAAAATAATAATAATAATAATAAAAGAAGCTGCTAAAAGGCCTCCAGAGGAGGAAAAATGACTAGTGTGACTCTGAACATAGAAGCTGCTCTCTATAAGCATGCTTTGAAGGAAAAGTGAAGAACCTGTTAATTGAAGACTGATCAGGAGCCCCAGGGCAGGAAGCTGCAGAAACTACCTAAAGCAAGAGGGATACAACTCTGTGACCTCGCTGGGACACTGCAGGAGCCACGAGTCCTCCTTAAACCTAACTCCGACGAGAAGGATGCTACGAATTTTATTGCAGGTTGTGCCTGTGACACTCGCTGAGCGACAACACTGCATCCTTGACTTTGACTACCCGTTTCCTTTGCCCTACGAAGGGTCTTGAGTGATGAGAGCTGATTTTGTTTGTTTGTTTATTTGTTACTTGGAAGGGAGTTGTTCGGAGGTCAGAGGAACACCTGCAGGAGCTGGTTCTCACTTTCCACCTCGTGGGGCCCGGGCTGGAAGGAGCAAGCACGGTCAGGACCGCTGAGCCACCGGGCTGGCACTGCCGATTCCTTCTAGAGGGAGCTGAAGCAAGTTCTCCAGCGCTGTCCCGGTCACCCAGTTTGTGAGCTGAAGGGACAATTCTCCGCCAGGCTGGTCCCGGCAACAGTAATTACAATAACGCAGCGCTGTCAGCCAGCCTTGGTGCTCCCACTCGGGTAGCCGTCGACCTGACATAATTAATGTCCCACTGTCTCCAAGGGAGACAAGCAAGACTGCGTGGAAAGGCAAACGCGAATATCATTAACATTGTACCTCTGCAGGGCGCAATGGAGGGAGGGGTGGGGCGGGTGCACCCGCACACCTGCTGACACCCACAGCTCGGCCACGTCGCCGTCGCCTCTGCTGAGCGACGGGGGCTGCGGGGCGCGGTCGGGCACATCCGGCTGACGGGTTCTCGGGGTTACCCAGGGTGAAGCTCAGAGGAACCAGCCCTGAGAAGGTTCCTAGTATCCCCGCTAGCTGCTCCCGTCAGCGTCCCGAGAGAAAAAAGGTCTCTGGGTCGCCGCGGACCCGAAGGGGTCGTCTGAGGTCCCTTTTGGGAGGTCACACAAAGGCTCCGCCTCAGAACTCCGGCGCAAACCCCTCGCCGCCGGCGCCAGGGAGCCAGGAGGAGCGGGCGAGTGCGCGCGCGCAGAGCCCGCCCCGCCCCCCGAGGCCCCGCCCACCACCCGCGACTCCCGCCCACCCAGCTGCCAGCCCCGCCCCCTGCCTGTGCGCCGGCGCAGCGCGACCGCTGGGCGCCGGGAACCGAGGGCGGGCGCGAGGCGTGCGGCTCCGGGAGCGCGCGCGACGCCGGCCGCCTCGCTCGGGCCCAGGTCGCCGCCCGCGTCCCCGGCCGAGGCTGCCGCTGCGGCCGCCGTCGAGGGCGTGGTGGCTCCGGGCGGTGGGGGTCCGTCCACCGCGGGCCGCGCTCGTTGCCCCCGGGGCTGTCCCCTTGAGCGCACAGGTGAGTCTCCCCTTCTCGGGGCGGGGCCGGCTCGAGGCCGCTCGGAGCTGGTTTGCAGCAACGCTGGCTGAGGGATCCCCAGGACCCCTGGAAGTTAAAGCAGCCTCAGCTACAGCAGCAGCCGCCCAGAGCTCCCCGGAGCCCCCTAGACTGCCAAGGACCAGCCAGCCGCCTGGTCCCCAGTGTCTTCCCCGGCAGCTTCGGGGTGACGTTCTGCAAAACACCCCCCTCGCCCCCAAGTCCTCCCTCCTCCACCAGCAATTTCTCGTTTGACTTTCTGAAAGATGGCAGGCCCGACCTGCCCCCGAGGGCAGGAAAGGTGTGGCCAGTAAAACAAGGGTGGCAGCAGGTGGGGGCCCCCCTCTCCTCCCCTTCCCCTCCCCCGGGATGCAGGAATCATCGCTCAGCTGTCACCCTGCCTTCTAGAAACTGGTCCTGGTCCGCCTCCTCCCGGGCGACGCACCTTCGGGTTCCAGGTTGCCCGGTTCCAGCTTCCGTGCGAAATCTCCTCATCCCTGGGGATTAAGATTCTAGCGGCTCAGGTCCATGTTTCAGATTCAAGCTAGAATTATTTAGAGTGATGTTTTAGTGTGGATTTAAAACCAAAAAAAATAGTCGCATCCCCATATTGAAAGCTATCTAGTCCAACACATTTACTTGAACTTTTCGTAGGAGTCTCTCATTTGCTGTTTCGCCGGAGAAGTAATTGATCGTCTGAAGCTGTGATTAGCGATTACTTAAAAATGTTATTTTAAGAACTGGGTGTGGCACACGTTTGTAATCTCAGCAGTTGCAAGTCTAGTCTAGGCTATATAATAAGGCCCTGTTAAAAAACAAAAACAAATCCTATTTTAACATTATGCCCTTACCTCTGGTCCAGTATATCAAACTGTAAAACCAGTATTTGGTCCCGTAAGATGGCTCGCAGGGCCTTGCTGCCTGACAACTGGAGTTCCTGGCTCCGGGATCCCTGGAACCCACGTGGTAGAAGGAGAGAACCAACTCCTGCAGCTTGCCCATTGACCTCCACCAGAATGATATATTTTAAGGCTTTCTCATTTGTTAAGCTAACAGGTGAGAAGCAATGCTGCTTCACGGGGATTGTAGGTCCCAAAGGGGGAAAGGCATGGAGATTAGTATGCCTTAGAACTCCTTTCACCTGCCGCCTGTGTAGTGGTGGCGGTCTCCGTATTCAGTAACATTTGACTTGGCTCCAGAAAAACTACAGAAAGTTCTCTTTTGCCTGGATGTAACTCAGTGGTAAAGCACTTGGCCAACATACTTGAGGTCCCCCAGTATAAAAAATAGGAAAAAAAATATTCTTCAGCCATTGGGTTGAGGGTGCATTCCAGGAGTAAAATGGTTGTGCTCAGGGTAGGTGAGCTATATGCAAGAAAACAGATGGCACCGGTTACTCTCCAAAGCCCTGTCCCGTGTTGCTTTCATTTTGTCTTTCTCACGCCTGTAGGCGGGGCAGGAATGTCGACGATGATGATGATGATGATGATGATAGCAGTTACAGAGGGTCAGTAAAACTGGTGGGACTTTAGGCCCTGGAAATACCCCAAATACAGAAATGTAATTTTTAAGTTTTAAAGGTTTATTTTATGTGTATGAGTGTTTTGTCTGTTTATATGTATGTGTACCACGTCCGTGCCAGGTGCCTTCAGAAATCTGAGGAAGGCATTGGATATCCTGGAGTTAGTGATGGTTGTGAGGCCCCCGTCTGCGTGCTGGGAACGGAACCCAGGTCTCCTGTAAGAGCAAGAGCCATCTCTCCAGCCCCAGAAAGTTAACTTTTAAAAAGATTCCTTTCAGGGGCTGGAGAGTTGGCTCAGAGGTTAAGAGCACTCACTGGCTGCTCTTCCAAAGGTCCTGAGGTCAGTCAGTTCTCAGCAACCACATGGTGGCTCACAAAGATTCATTTCTTCAAATTGTGGCTGTGTGTGAGTGTCTGCACATGAGCACAGGTGGATGTGGAGACCAGGAGAGGACACTGGGTGGAGCAGTAGTTACAGGGAGTTAGGAGCCACCTGAGGTGGGAGCTAGGAACGGAACTCTGGTCCTCTGCTAGAGCCGTACATGCCCCCAACTGCTAAGCCGTCTCTCCACCCCCAAAATCTAATCTTTTAACCTAGTTTATATTAAATACATTACTTTATTATGTTGATTTTTGTTTTTTACTACTACTAAAAAAAAAAAAAAAAAAAAAAAAGTAGACTTCTGCCTGTAAATGATTGATGAGAAGAAGTGGAAGATAGAGGAACTATGGAAGACTTCAGAACCCCAGTGTTAGCAGTCCTGACCTGTGTTTTAGAAAATTTAGCCTAAATTAGAACTTCACAAGCCAGGCACATGGCACACGCCTGTAATCCCAGCACTCAGGGTGGCAGAGGCAGGTGGATCTCTGTGAGTTCGAGGCCAGCCTAGTCTACAGAGTGAGTCCAGGACAGCCACAGCTACACAGGGAAACCCTGTCTCAAAAAAACAAAACAAAACCAACCCAACAAAAAAACAACCAAAGAAAACCTTATGTAAAATTCGCATTTGCTTTTGATAATTTTGTGAACTTTTTGACAAATTCTAGAGGAGAAAGAATTCACCTTTTCCTCATCAGCTGGAATTGCTGGGCGCTCAGCCTTGATGAGTTGATTTTGTCCCAAGGCTGGTGCAGCAGAGCAGATGGTTTCCCGCTCTGTTACTGTTTCCATGAGGCAGCCCTGAGAGGGTGCTAAGCCCTGTCAGCACCAATCTCAGTAGTCATGACTAGAACCTCGGTGCTGGACCCAGCCCTGGGTTGGTTGTTTGTTGCTGTAACGAAACCCAGGTTAGCGTTAAGTAGCTGCTGGGTGACCATACGTGACCTCCATAGACACTTCTCTTCAATTTTAGCTGCATTTAGAATGGCAGGAAATTCTGAAGGGATTGGCACTGTTGACTTAAAACAACCAAAACCTCTCATTATGTGTTTTTATCAAGATCGCTAATATCTAACTAGTTATGGCTAATATCGTGCATTTTTTATAACAAAATTCTGTAAGGCTCATACAAAGGCCTAGTGACCTTTTCTCGGCTTCTTTTAAATCCGTTTTCACGGATTTAGAAGCAGATAACTAGCTCAGTGGATATTTGTGAGCTCAGTTTACTGACAAACCCTCCCTGCTTTTCTTGAGGTCGTACAAAATGCTAGAGGTTTTTCTTCCTTTATGATCACTCAGAGGTTTGTTTTTCCCCTTCTGTGTTAAGATTTATCAACAATTCTGATAATTATTTGGGTCCTTTCAACCAATAAGGAAACTCACATCATGCTTGTGTTAAAATAATTACTGAGCCAAGCATTACTGTATGAACATTTAATTCTAACATCTTTGTTGAGTGAAAAATTATTATTGTCTACATTTTATACTTGAACCAAGTACAAAACCAAGGCAGGTTTGGTGAGAATGCTCAAGGGCTAAAGGCACTTGCTGCCAAGCCTAACACAGCCTGAGTTCCACATGGTGGGAGGAGAGAACCAGCTCCTGAACATTGTCCTCGTACTCTCTCGTGCACGCCATGCCACATGCCAGCGCACACATCGACACCAGAAACAGGTAGGGGAGATGCCTGAGCAGAGTCCTGTGGGGCCAGTGTTAGTGTTGGAGATCTGAAGACGGATCCTGACCCCCTGCTGGGGATGCTTGAGGGTCACTCAGACTTGTTCACTGTTCTGTGTGTCTCCACAGTCTGTTCTTAAGGACACAAACGAGGAAATCTTGGAGCAAAATTACTTAATGATAATAAAGCCTTTGATCTGGGCTTGGTGGGATAGGCCTATGATCCCAGCTAATGGGGAAGCTGAGGCAGGAGGATCAAAACTTCAAGGACACCCTAGGCTAAAGGGGCTATTCAGAGCCAGGCTCAACAGCTGGACACCCTGTCTCTCTGTGGCAAAATATGGGTTAAAAAGAGGACTGGGAAAAGGACAGTGGTAGAACACTTGCCTAGTAGGTAGGAGGCCCTGGGTCCAATCCTTAGTGCCACAATAAATGAATGATTTTGAAGGAAAAAAAATCATTGTGGCCATTATTAGGATAATTAACAAAATTGGAATATTTTGCTTCTTGGTAAGAAAGCAATTTTGCTCTTACATGCAGATTTGGGAGTATATGCACTATACTTTTTAATAGTTTGGAGAGAACGATAAAGTTTAAAGTCAGTCTGGTGTCTCTAGGTAAAGATGTGTTTTGTTGGAGATAGTATCTCACTCTGTAACCCAGGCAGGCCTGGAACTCCCTGTGTAACCCAGGCTGACTTTGAACTCGTGGCAATCATCCTGTCTCAGACTTGAGACGTGAGCCACCATGCCTAAGCCCATTTTTATCATTTCTTTTTGAAGTTGTATCAAAAGAAAGTTACCCCAAGTTGAAGATAGAAAAACAGGAAATGAAGGTATAACATTCTAAATCAAGCTAAGGATTGTTTCCTATGCTCTGTTTGTATTTTATTCTTTGTCATATTGGAGGAAGGATCTTGAAACAAAAATAATTATCAAAAATAGACCAGGGTTGGGGCTATATATAGCCCAGTAGTAGAGTATGGGCCTAGCATGAACAAGGCGATGGGTTTGGGCCTTAGTGATGCTCATATGTAGGCAGAAAATGGGCTGGCTTCCTTCCTCTCCCTCCCGCTGAAGGAGCCTGCCTGCCCGGAACTGGTCTGGAACTCACTGGCTCCCTGTGTAACCAGGCTGGTCTGGAACTCAATGGAGATCCGCCAGCCTCTGCCTCCCTAGTGCTGGAATTAAAGGCATGGGCCACCATGCACAACTCTCTCACCTCTTTCAAGAGGGGAATAAATAATAAACAGGGAAAAACAAAAGCATGTAATGCCCCTAACAGTCAAGCTGCAGAAAGAGCCCAATTTTCATACACAAGGACAAACTAGATGGTTCCATCATTTCCTAAACTAAGCACCTCCAGCAGCTTTCTGATGTTTCCCCTCCTCCCTTTGTGCACATGCTTGGTGTCTAGCTGTACCCCACCCCACCTGCTGACATCCTCCGTGACCTCTTTGGGAGCCCATCTCAGTTCCTTACAGAACTTCATTTTCTTGCATTTTCATGCCAGTGACATGGTGACAATGCGTGAAGATCAGTGCTGACTGCTTTTGTTCATCAGCCCTTACTAAGCTGGAAACTGTGGCAGGGCCTGGGAATTTCACGGCGTGGACAGCCTGGTAGCTAGTATGCCTTCACATCAGAAGAGGGCACCAGATCTCATTATAGATAGTTGTGAGCCACCATGTGGCTGCTGGGATTTGAACTCAGGACCTCTGGAAGAGCAGATAGTGCTCTTAACCTGAGCCATCTCTCCAGCCCCCTCTAGAGGTGATTTTTAAACAGTCATCTAAGCTTAGGACAGAGGAGGAAGCAAAGTGTTGTGAAGTCACAGTGAAACACTCTCCCGGGGGACTCCATTCAGACCTTGGGCTACCCAGGTAAATATATATTTGGCACAAAGCTAAGTACCTAGGTGTAGAATTCGGGGAAAGGTCCAGATCCCAAAATGTGGCCATCTATAATTCCCATCCCCTGCAGTGTGGCTTCGGCTCTCCTTTCCCTGTGGCTTCGGTGCCTTCCTTTATGGCTTTGGAGCAGTTGTGTGAAATGCAGCATGGTGCTGGCTCATTGGGGACACACAGAAGCGGGAAACCAAGTTGAGAACCTAGAAGGTAAAGGCTCCAGAGGGGACAGGGCTGAAACCTTAGAGACCCCAGTATAAAGAGTGACAGAGAAAAATGAGCGCGGGGAGAAGCTGGGAGTGAGGGAAGGGGCATCAGGGATGTCTGCAGAAGGTGGGCCCCGGTGCTTGGGAAGCCTTCGCTGTCAGTAGTGAGGGAGATGAACCCAAGAGAGAATGGCAGCTGCCTGACGAGACCACCCCGGGGTGAGCGGAGTGGAGGAAATGTGCTGGGTAAACGAGCCCACTGTCTTCAGGAAGCGGGTAGGAGAGAAAGCAGAGAAGCAGGTGGATGGAGGCAGACAGATGGTGGGGATCCCAACACGGATAGCTCCACACACCAAGGAAGAGAGCAGGCGATGTGGATGGCATAGCAGACAGTAGGATGAGACCATACTGGGATGTGTGACTGCTGGCCCTGGGGGAGAGCTGTGTGCTCCTGTGTCCCCCAGTGCCTGGCAGTAGGTGCCCAGATATTGACAGAAACAAGTATAGATGCTTTTTTTTTTTTTTTTTTTAAGATTGTCTCGAGTGCTATAGAATAATAGGAAACTCCACTATTTTTGTCCCATGGTTCATAAGGAGAAGGAAGTGATCCTGTGTAAGCAGTGTTTCTGCAGAGTCTTGTGTCCTTACACATGAAAGGGGAACTTACAAGTGCAGCCATAATCAGGGTCACCCAGTGTCTCTTTCACTCGTGGGGTCTCTTCAGCTCCATGTCACCTTCTTGAAGCACATTGTGTCCAAAGGGACCCTGTATGATGAGTGGTGGCTCCACGAAGAGCCAGACAGGGGCAGATTGTGTCCCTCCACTTTGCAGCGGGGCAGTGTCGGCTTTAGGCCTCTGACGTCCAGTGCACAGTGTCTGAAAGTCCAGAAGAAGTTTGTCCTCTGGGTTGCCTCCTTAGGTTGTGTGCTGTGTATGCGCTTGCATTGCGTGTTCACGAACGTCTTTTAAAGGGAACTCTGGGACCTAAGCAACTTAATGACTTACAAATCTGCTCAGAAAAAACCCAGGCTGGCTAAGAAGGCAGATCACAGACAGCGTTTCAGGGTGCAGATGGCGAGCAGATCGTGTGGGTGTGATTCTGCTGGGCTACTTCCAGTGTTTTCCACCTAAAACCCAAAACAAATATGTGAAGGCCGCTCTGGCTCCCACCTTCCGTCTCTCTGCTTGTAAACTCAAGTACATATTGACATGAGCGTGTCATGTTATCCTTTTCATCCCACTTTCACTAGAAAGTGCTTGCTTTTTTCGCTTCTTCATGTTTCATCGCCCCATAAAAATCTGCTAAGCAAATCAGATTGGTGGATGGGAAATTCGCTTAAGAGAACTGGCACTAACTTAAATGCTGATTGATCTTTCCTAGATAAAGTCGTTTTGCTTGATGAATTGCTGTCTTGAGAAATAGATTGACTGGGACATTACAAAGCCTTCACATTTTTTTCTTTTCTTTCTTTTTTTACTTTAAGCAGTAAGTGTCTGGCAGACATCCTAGAACTTTACCCACAGAGAAGATGCTCCGAGACAGCGTGAAATCTTGGAATGACAGCCAGTCAGATGTCTGTAGCAGCGACCAGGAGGAGGAGGAAGAGATGGTCTTCGGGGAAAATGAAGAGGATTTGGAAGAGATGATGGACCTAAGCGACCTGCCCACTTCACTTTTCGCTTGCAGTGTCCACGAAGCGGTGTTTGAGGTCCAGGAGCAGAAGGTAGGCACACACCCTGTTCCTGCGCTCACACCGTGGGAAGCATAGATAGCTTTGGTCCTTGGGCCGGTGATAGGAAATACACAGAGTGTGTGCCACGCTGGACCCCTCTCTGTGTCTTAGGAGGGTCCCCGTCTACCAGTGAGAGGCGCCCCGAGCCAGTCCTCCCACTGCGCTGGACGGGCATTGGCTTTTCCTGAGCTCTGAATCAAGGCTCGATAAATGTGCTTCCTACTCTCACGTTTATTCATTGAGTTTTGGAGACTGTAATTGGCTGTATGGCTCAGGCTGGCCTGGGATTGGCTGTGTGACCCAGGCTAGCCTGGGACTTCCAGTGAGCCTCCCAGCTCTAACTCCTAAATGCTGGGGTGTGTCCTAGGGATCTGTCACCACCCAACCTCCAAGTGCATGATTTTCTTGGCTGCCTTCTTCCTCCTTGTGCACTCACTAAAGGAATTCAGCTTTTTCCTGGGGCTTATTGCATTAGGCCATTAGAACTAATATTATCTCATTATTAACATTTCCTTATATTGGGTTGAAAGGAAAACTAGATTATCTTTTTTAAGTTACTTATTATTTACTTGGAGTGTGTGTGTGCATGTGTGTTTGTGTATGTATTGTGTGTGTGTTCCCATCTTGACATCATAAAAGCCTACATACCTTTTCTTTCTTTCTTTGAGACCTAGTCACACTCTGTGGTCCAGGCTGGCATCTGGGCAATCTTCCTCAGCCTCCTGAGCACTGGGAATTTATGCAGTTTCTGAGTCTCAGTTCTGTGGTGGGGCATCAGAAGTCTGCTGTGGTATCAAAGGAGACAAGTTCACAGCCAGGTTCAGTGCGTCTTTCATAAGGACATGTGGCATTGGGGAGGGGCTGTGAGAATTAGAATTTTAGCAAAGGAAAGGAAGGAAGCTTTAGCCAGAGGAAACCAGACCCACTAAGGAGCCTGATGAGGGCAGTGGAAGGCAGGAAAGGGAATCACAGGCTTTCGGTATGATTGGTGCACAGGCTGTAAAGGCCCAAGGCAAGAACACTCGGCCGGGAGGTGGGTGCCGGGCCTTCCTGCAAAGCACCCTGATGCCCTTCTGGAGGGCAGCAGTGGAAACCATACTGGGTTAATGCGTGCATTGGGGGGCTCCGGGCTCCCGCCTGGAGATGAGCACCTGTGCGGCAGCGGCCAGGAGGACATGGTCAGCCCCAGGGGGTTTCTCTGTAGGGTGCCTTATTTTACAAACGCTGTGTAAAGCTTTGTCCAGTTCAGCCACCGTTCAGATACCTACAGTCATCCGTCCTGCTTTCTCTTCTGTTTAAGACCTCTGGCCATCCCATTAGAGACAGTTTATTTGTTATGGAAGAAAGCACATATCTAACCAAGGCCTTTGTATCTTATCAGTGGATGTGGCCCCCCCAAGTTCAAACAGTTGCTGAACTGTTTGAGCACTTATTCTGTTAAAAAATCATAACCTGCCAGGCAGTGGTGGCACTCCTTTAGTCCCAGCACTCGGGAGGCAGAGGCAGGCAGATAGATCTCATGAGTTCAAGGCTATCCTGGTCTACAGAGTGAGTGGCAGGACAGCCAGGGCTACACAGAGAAACCTTGTCTCAAAAAAACAAAACAAAAAAATTTTTTATCTTGCACTGGCCATGTACACATTTAATCCCCACACATGGGAGGCAGAGGCAGGTGGATCTCTTTGAGTTTGAGGCCAGCCTGGCCTACAGAGTGAGTTCTAGACAAGCCAAGGCTAGGAAGACAGAGGCTGTTGGGGGGGCTGTTTCTGTACTGAATATTTACAGATCTTCAACCTTTTTAAGTAATGCAGTATAAAACTGTTTGCCTTGTATTCCGTATTGTAGATCGCCTAGAGGCGAGCTAACATACGGGGGAGTGTGTTGGTTCTTTGTAGACATGGCCCTGTTTATATGTGCCACTTAACTACATAAGCATTTTTGATCTGAGAGGATCATAGGCGCACTTTATCTTAAAATTCCAATCAGAAGAGCTCTCTGTGGGCAGTGAGACGAGACAGCTCACTGGGAGAAGGCGCTTGCTGCGTAGTGACAGCAGCCGATAGCCTCCCTGGAAACCCACAGAAAGGTGAAAGTTAACAATAAATACACACTTTAAGTTTAAAAAAGAATCACGGGAGAAAGTTCACACCAGTAAATCTATTTCTTTTTTTTTTTTTTTTCATATATAGCCTGAGAAAATTTTGACTCACCAGCAGATTGAGTTCTCGTTTATTTTGTTGTTTTTTGTTCTCATTTATTTGTTTGTTTGTGTACTTGTTTGTTTATTTATTTATTTAAGGTTTTTATTTATGTGGTTATGTGAGTGGATCCCAAAGAAACTAGATTAGGGTAATGGATCCCTTGGGACAGGAGTTGAAGATGGTTGTGAGCCACCTGCTGTGGGTGCTGAAAAATGAACCTGAGTCCTCTGCAAGAGCAGCAAATGTTCTCAGTCACCAAGCCGTATCTTCAGCCCTGGTGTTCATTTTTAAAACCATTTGAGGGATATCTCTATCTCAGGTGTGGTGTGTGTGTGTGTGTGTGTGTGTGTGTGTGTACGTGTCCCCACACATGTGTGTTCCAGTGTCTTGGGTTATTATTACTGTGATAATACACCATGACCAAAGCAACTTGGGAAGAAAAGGGTGTATTTGATTTACACTTCCACATCACTGAAGCCAGCACAGGAACTCACGCAGGGCAGGAACCTGGAGGCAGAAACTGAGACAGAGGCCATGAAGGGGTGCTGCTTACTGGCTTGCTCCCCATGGCTTGCTTGGCCCACTTTCTTATAGAACCCAGGACTACCTGGACTGCAAGAGACCCAGTCTTTAAAAATAAAAATAAAAAACAAAAGGAAGAAGATGACTTCTCTGTGTTATGCTGTGTGCACAATTCAAGGGCAGCGGTGCTCGGAGTGGTGTCCTTAGAGGAGGAAGAAGCCTAGACATCGGACTTGAGCACGCAAACAAATGCCTAGAACTATGAAGAAAGCAGGGAAAGGGTCAGCCCTGCATGCCAGAGGCATTTCTTTGACAGGGGAACAGCACATCTGGGTACCTTGGTGACTTGACAGCAGAATGCTCCTGTTCTATGTGTAGCCATGTGTAGGCTGTTTTATATGTGGTATTTGTTTTATAACCTTTGACCTGCAGTATCTACCAAAGGTGGCCATTTTAAGTCAGTGCAAATTGCAGATGTGAACATGTGGTCACAGGGTGTCTACTCTGAACACCTGTGAGAAAGGGAGCTCTTTTTGGAGAAGTAGTGTGTGTTACACGGGGAGTTTCGTGCGGCTGCTTCTCTTCAGCAGGCTTCCCCGTTAATAGGAATGTTTTGCTCTTCCCTCCTGCTCTCTGCCCTGCAGGAGAGGTTCGAAGCTCTGTTCACCTTCTATGATGAGCAGGTCACATTCCAGTTGTTCAAGAGTTTTCGCAGAGTGAGGATCAACTTCAGCAAGCCGGAGGCCGCGGCGAGAGCACGGATAGAGCTCCACGAGAGCGAGTTCCACGGCCGGAAGCTGAAGCTGTACTTCGCGCAGGTGCGGTGAGCTCTGTGGCCGCCCCACGGCTGTTTCTCTGCTCACAGCCCTTTACAGGGGGGTCGGCTTTGTGAAGTCAGCGACACAATGTTTTTTCTTACTTTACACATAGGTAATTTCATTTATTTTTAGGACTGTATTAAGCCTTCTGTCTTTGTTTCGCTGAGACTAATAGTTAAGGGGTTTTATTAGCAGCTTTGCCCAACTAGGGCCCTGCCAGGGTTAAGCCCTGACACCCTGAGGCCAGTGGATTAAATGTTCTGCGCATCTAAAATGGCACTTTAGGATGTGACATCCGTGGCAGAACAGGCCTCCTTGAAAGGCCCTCAAGGTGGCTCAGTGGGTAATGGTGTTTCCCACCAAGCCTGAGGGCCTGAGCTTGATCCCTGGAACCCATACATGGTGGAAGGAAAGAAACAATCTGTGACCTCTGACCTCCATATGCAATTATATCTCTTCTGAGACTGGAACGCAGCAGTGTGTCAGTCAGCTGTACCCCTGAATTAGTTAGGGTTACTATTACTGTAATAAAACCCCATAACCAAAAGCCACTCAGAGACAAAAGAGTTTGTTTAGTTTATGTACCTTAATCACTATTCACTGAAGGAAACCGAGGCAAGAACTAACCTGGGCAGGACCCTGGATGCAGCGGCTAATGCAGAGGATGTGAAGGGTGCTGCTTACCGGATTTTACCCTCTGCCTGCTCAGCCTGCCTTTTTATTTTTTATTTTATTTGTTTAAGATATATTTATTTATTATGTATACAGTGTTCTGCCTGCATGTACACCTGCATGCCAGAAGAGGGCACCAGATCTCATTATAGATGGTTATGAACCGCGATGTAGTTGCTGAGAATTGAACTCAGGACATCTGGAAGAGCAGCCAGCAGAAGCGCTCTTAACCTGAATCATCTCTCTAGCCCTTAGCCTGCTTTTTTACAGAACCCAGGACCACAGCCTGGGATGGTATCACCCCCAGTAGGCTGGGCCCTCCCACATCAGTCCCTAATTAAGACAATGCTCTGCAGGCTTGCCTGCAGTCAGATCTTATGGAGGCATTTTCTTAGTTGAGGTTCCTTCTTCCAGTGACTAAAGCATGCATCGGGTTGACATAAACTAGCCAGTACACCCGGTGCAACAAGCACCTGAGATAATCAGCTGTAAAGGAGAAAATTCTTAGCTTGTGGTTTGGAGGTTTCAGTCCATACATGATTGGCCTACAGTGGGGAAAGCACATGGAGGCAGAGCAATACTCTTCACCTCGCTCCTGGGAAACAGGAAGAGTAAGTGTCTGTGGTCCCACTGTGCCTGAGAGTGTGCCCCAGTGTCTGAAGACCTCCTGACCTCCTACAGGCTCCCAGTTTGCCCTCTCAGGGAGCAAACCTCTGTCTACCACACAGACCCTGAGGGTCACTCAGAGCCCAGACCACAGCCATAGTTACTGCTGTGAGTTTCTTTGTCCATCTGTTTATACACTTATTCTTTCACTCAACTCATGTTTATCAAGGATCCAGTGCCTGTGGCTTCCTGAGGTGGGACAGTTCTAGTCCATCTCCTGAAAGATCATAAGCAGCTTTAGAGACATTTTTAATCACCCCTCTAAGAAAGTAACAATTACCATGAAGATGGAAATGAAAGCCCTGAGGTGGTGGCACATTCAGGGCAGATCTAAGTTCCAGGCCAGCCTGAAGTTCAGCCCATGAGGTCAAAGCAGGCTGGTAGAGCTTTTTCTTAATTGGTGATTGAAGTGAGAGGGCCCACCCTGGAACACAGTTCCAGGACAGCCAGGGCTACGAAGAGAAACAAACAGAACAGGAACATGGAAATGAAGAGAACGCAGCCACTCGTGAGCATGTCTTTCCCTGCAGGTGCAGGTGTCTGGGGAGGCTCGGGACAAGTCCTACTTGCTGCCACCACAGCCCACCAAGCAGTTCCTCATCTCCCCTCCAGCCTCCCCGCCAGTGGGGTGGAGGCAGAGCGAAGATGCGGTGCCGGTGATCAACTACGACTTGCTCTGCGCCGTCTCCAAGCTGGGGCCAGGTAACGGAGCTGCCTCTGCCCTGCATGTCTCCCAGAAGTTCGTGTGTCGGGACCATGTTCAGGAGAGGGCAGAGCCCGCCAACAGCAATCCAGTCCAGGGGACAGTGTGGCCACCGCAGCCTGGGTTCACACTCCCACTGTGGTCCTCAGCCAGTTGCTGAGCCTTTGGTGTCTGAGCACAGTTGTGAGAGTTAAATGGTATATGCAGCCTGGTAATTTTATCGATTCAGCTAGGAATTAATCCAGGTGGTCAATGACCACACTCAGTACCTCCTCTTCTCTTGTTGAATATTAAAAATTATGTTGGGCCCTGTGATTATCATGGCAATATATTTAACCTGCTACCACAATTAATAAGACACAGATACCTGTTAGGTTTTATAATTGCCTTAAAACACCTTGGGCCGGGCAGATATTCCATCTACGCTATTTCAGTAGCCTCACCATCCATCTCCCACCCCCATCCAATGCCATCCTTCTAACCTTTCCAAAATACTTGTTTATATTCGCTGTTTTCTCCAGCCACTCCGTCCTTGGAGTCCTTTCTCCTGGCCCATGTGCTTTCTTCTCCACCCTAACCCATTGGGGCAGCGTCCTCCTCCCTCCGCTCTTCTTGTCCATCTTTCTCCCATGATTCTGTTGAACCCAAAGCCTGCTGTTAAGGACAGTGTGTCTCTTCTAGGGGACTTCAGGGGCATTTGAAGGAGCTCTATGTGTGTGGATGGTTGAACTCTTTCAGATGTTAGAGGTGACCCTAGAGATTGCCCGGAGCCTGGCCAGTGCCTCCCAAGGGGACTCAAAACCATTATGAGTATAACTAACGCACCTTAGTGATTTGTAGAACAGCAATTAGCTGTTTTAATTAGCACAAAGCCAGAGAAAACATGGTACATAAGAGAGGAGAAAGGTTTGTAGGTGTACAGGAAGAAACAGGAGCTATTTCCAGAGCAAAGCTCTCCCTGAGTGAAGGGAACCTGTATATATTCATATAGGCGCAGACCCACTCCTGAGCACACTCAGTTTAAAGTCCCAGAGATTAGCATGATGGACCGGGTGTGGTTGTGCTCAGTTTTCCCTGCAAGAGAGAAAAAGGTAGTTTTAAGGTATGCCACCAGGAGTCCTCCCTGAAGCCGCCTGCTGGGCTTGGATTTTAAGGCCCAGGGCCCAGGACAGAAAGGACGGTGTCTGTACAGGTGTGCAGGCCATGGTGGCGAGAGTTCCAGGCCAGCCAGGGCTGCATAGGGAGACCCCGTGGATTAAAAAAAAAAAAGGGGGGTTGGGGGGGAGAGAAAGAGAAATTTCTTAGTAACAAACAAACTAAGCCTCTGACACAGGATAGATAGATTTTACAGACTAAGCAATAAACGAACTGAGGTAACACATGCCTGTAATCCCAGCACTTGTGAGATGGGAGCAGAAAGATTAAGAGTTCAAGGTCAGCCTGAGCTACAGCAACAAGTTTCCTCTTGGCCCAGATTTTTCATGAGACTCAGTCTCAGAAAAAAGATCAGCAACCACTAAATGAACTAGAAGAGGGAGTCGGAAGCTGGGACACAAGAAATGAACGCTCCTTCCTGTGCTTGCAGGGGAGAAGTACGAACTGCACGCAGGAACCGAGTCCACCCCCAGCGTGGTGGTGCACGTCTGCGAAAGCGAAACTGAAGAGGAAGAAGACACAAAAAACCCAAAACAGAAGATCACACAGACTCGGCGCCCGGAAGCCCCCACGGCCGCACTGAGTGAGCGGCTGGACTGCGCGCCGTGAGCCAGCCTCGGCACCGCGCCTCCCGCCACGCCTGCCGCACCCGCTCCTCGGCGCAGCCTGGCACTGCCCTGCACCCATCCAGCAGCTGGATAACCCCGCCAGGCCGGAACCTGGGGTGAAGTAGCAGATTCGGCCAGTTTGACATTTTGAACAATGTTTAAGTGGCACTTTAAGTGACAAGGTTAGCCCCCACCACGTGGCACCTGTCTCCTCCCTGAGAAATATTAGTTCCCTTGAACCTTGAGAATATTGGGTACCAAAGGGCAGAGCTAGAGTCACCAGGTGCGCTCTGATTTTTACAGATTTAAAAACCAGTCTTACAATTTCAGTAATTCGGTGTGGGTATTTTAGTACTGCTGTGGCAGTGTCTAACAAATGTTGAGCAAAGGCTGAATGTCATTATTCAGTATACAGGAAAAAAACTTTCTTTTTCTTTTCTTTTCTTTTTTTTTTTTTTTTTTTTTTTTGCACAAAAAGAAACCTGAGATAGAAAGTCCTGTAGAAGTCATTTTTCTTAAGTATTTTTTCACCAGCCTTGGGATGCAATGCCAAATGAATGAGATTATCAGATCCAGACAGCCCGGGCAGATGTGGTTTTGTTCTCCTCGATGCCCATCTTTCTTGGCTGTTGGTAAGGGTGGTTCCCAGAACCCTGCTCTCAGGGCAGCCCCTGCAGGCCTGGGCTGTGCTGGAGGAACTGGGCCTTGGCAGGGGGGTGTCACCGGGAGCTGGCTGGTGGCTTGATGCAGGTACCTGTGGAGCTGCAGCGCCTCAGGTGATCTCTCCACCATCCCGCTGCCACTTTGCTGCTGCTTGAGTTTCCCTGTGCTGTGTGTGACTCGTGGGTGTTAGCCTCGATCTGATAAGACTTTCTGAAGACCACTTTCAGCTGGGGAGGGGTGTTTCACTTTTGCTCGCTTTGAAAACAGGGTTTCACGTTGTGGCTAGCTGGCCTCAAATCCTCTGTGATCCAGCCTCAGCCTCCCAAGTGCTGGAATTACAGGGGTGAGCACCATGTACTCCGTATTTCCATTCCAGTATTTCAGCTGTGTGGAAAGAAAAAAAAATCACCTGCACCCTTCCCCCCAACCCCCATGGACTAGGGGGAGGAATCATACTTTTTTTTTTCTTTTTGAGGAGGGGTGTGTTGGGTGTTTTGTTTCGGTTTTTGTTTTGTTTTGTTTTGTTTTTTTTGTTTTGTTTTTTTGTTTTTTTTTATGCCTGTTTGTTTGTTCTTTATTTTGGGTTTTTTTTTTTTTGGTTTTGATTTTTTTTTGAGAGAAGGTTTCACTCTGCATAGCTCAGGCTAGCCTGAGACTCACTAGGTAGCCCAAGCTGTCCTTGAGCCTGAGATGGTTCTCCTTCCCCAGCCTCTTGAGTGTTGGGATTGCAGGCATGAGTCACTGCGTTGCAGTTCATACTTCCCTTTTTAATGAAATTTTCCACCTCGGCTTGCAGTTGACGTTCAGATAGAATTGCTTCTCAGACTTGAAGATGTGTTGTGTGAACCTCCATAGGCCCCTGCAGCCTCACTATCGAGCTGAGACTGCAGTCCCTCTTGCAGAAGGCTCTTCTGCCCACAGGTGCGTCAGCTGGCCCCACTCTTGTGCCGTTTTCTCGAATGGCAAGTATTTAGAGCGGGCTGGTATGGACACAAGCTGAGACAGGAACGGCACAGCCACTGCAGAGAAAGGAAAGTGGAGAAACTGAAGCTGTGTGTAACCAGTGTTTGCTACCTTGTGGGCAGTTCAACCCCCTAACACTAGATATAAGAGAAAAAAGGATAGAGATGAAAGGAAAGAGATCCCTGAATAAAATCAGGGGCCAGAAAGGGGCGACATCATGCTTAGACCACTTCCTGCTGATTAGGGACATCAAGCTCCTTGGGGCAAGTGTGATCTTCACAGTCAGGATATCTAGTTTCTTCTCCTTGTTTCTTCTTTGCACATGACTGCTTAACAAGCCACGACCAACGACAACCTAGCATTTATAAACCCTCTGAGAAGTCCCCGGAATTCCAGACATCACACAGCCACATCAATGATTTGCAGCTGGCAGAACCACGCCTCTGCTAGAGCACAAGGCAAATCCTAGTCAGCTGCTGTAAATCAGACCCATATCCCCAACACCTGGGATTGTGATTCTACTCACCCTGGTTTATTGGATCGAAATCATCAATTGCCAGGTTAACGGCCAGACATTCCATAAAGTAATATGCACGTATTTTGTTTTGTTTTGAGGTAATATCTCCCTGTGTTGCCCAGGTTGGTCTCAATCTCCAGGCCTCAGTGGATCCCACAATTGATTGGACCCAGGCATAGGCACCTGCACCCAACTCTACTTTGCCATTCTGAGATTAGCAGTTTGTGTCTTTTGATTGCAGAATAGACCCAGCAAGTATATTTTCAACAGCTGGGAAGTTTCTGTGTTTCCCCATTATGTGATACATATTACCTCTAATTTTCTAATATCAGAACCCAATTTTTAAATGTCTTGGCTTTCATTTCTACCTGCCAATTATAGAATGTTTATATACTTTTTTTAAGTCAAAAAGTACAAATTACTCAACTCTGTAAAATTTTTTGAGAGTATTAAATTGTGTCTATGTATAGTGGACAGCAAAGATAGGGAGGTCATTTAAATGTTCCCTGGATAGCAGATATTTTTTTCCCCTTTTTCTGGTATAATGTTTCCATAAGGCAAATTCTAGAAGAAGGAAAAAATAACCATCTACCTTTAATGAAATCGATCAGACTCTCCAGGTCTCTGTTTTGAAGCTATTTTTTATACCCAGTTCACATAGCCATTTTGTAACAAAGGAGTCTCTTTTGTTTGTGAAAAGGTCTCAGCCCAGGCTGATCTGAATTTGCTGTGTGGCCCAGGATGGTCTTGGATTCCTGATTCTATGGCATCTGACTCCAAAGTCCCGGGATGACAGATGTGTATGTACCACAGCACATAGCTAACTCTTCCCCTGGCTCCTCCCAGTCATGAGCATCTCCACCTCCCCTTATACCTCCTGTGGCTCCTCTCCAGTCATGTGACACTTTTGCTCCTCCCCTGATTCCTCCCCTGGCTTCTCTATAGTCTCCACCTCCTCCCTAGTCATGTGACACTCCAGCTCATTTCTTGACTTCTCCCCAGCCCTGTCTCTGGCTCTGCCCCTGGCTCTTCTGTGATGTAAGTTCCAAGGAGACAATGAGCCCTTTGAGAGGACACAAGTTCAGAGCACAGGGGTTCTTGCATGATTTGGGGGTCCTGAAATTCATCGCCAAAGGCACTTAGATGCAGTGATATTTCAGCTGGAGGTTGTCAGACTTAGAACACAGAATCCAGTAGGTGGCGACTGGTGAACATGGTCATTTTCCTCCTCCCTCTTTTCCTCAGCACATCTGTCTGTGTGTGGTGGCACAGGCTTGTACTCTCAGCCCACAGGAGGCTGCGGCAGGAGGATTGCCTGTCTTAGTGTGACAGTACAGAGGAACAGAAGCCCTGGGGAACACTTGCTTCTAGCCAAGAAGTCCATGTTCTAGTCTCATTCTCTGCAAAGTTAGGAACATGGAAAGAGGAAGGCGTGTGACCAACCACTTGACAGGTGACTGTTGAGGTGTCAGACTCCCGAGAGCCAGTTCCCCTCAGTCTTGAGCAGGGCAAAGTGACCCCTCAGTCAGGGTTACCAAGTGTAGCCAGCGTGCTGGCCTGTGTCTGTCACCCCAGCCTTTGGGAGGCAGACGCACAAGAACCGTTGTAAGTAAGGCAACAACAAAGGGGTTTCTGGGTGTCCACGCAGCCCCGCAGCAGGTAATAGCCACTGTGGGCTTTCTGGCCAGGCCGGGAACTTGTATTCCCCGTAAGGGTCTAGTCAGGGGTGAGAAGTGGCCTCAGATAGTCAGCGTGCAGAGACCTCACTGGGGTTCGTGCTTTCTCTTGGAAACCTGTAATTCTTGAAGTGGGTCCCGTGACCCTTGGAGGCCCTGCCTGGCCTTGACTGCATGTGCATTCTTGTCATATGGAGGATTTCTTCTCTATCTATGCAGATACTTCCTGTTTTCTGTATTGTTTCCTGGTGGTGTCTAATCTTCCTAAGTCAGACTGAGGACACAGGAGAGACCACAGGTGTCAGTCCGTGACGTATGACTGTGCCATACCCTCCCTCAGCCCTGGAGTCTTTATTCCTGACACTGTGCACCGTTTGTGTCTTTGACGTGTGAGAAGGCGTTCACAGCCATTGCACTTTGATCTTCATAACTGAACCTGCCGCTGGATTTAGTCTCGAATCTGGACATGTCTGCAGCCTCCCTGGCCCCCTGCACTGTAGCGAACCATCACTGCATTTGTGAAAACCGGTCAGTGATTTTTGTCCGTGTATCCCGTTTCTTAGTGTGCTTGACTTGATGGGCCATAGTTCATTATCAGCTTCCACTGTCCTGTGTTCAAAGGATCTCTTAAACATTCCGTGTCCTGTGAGGTGACAAAAGCAGAATGTAATTTGGAGGACACCTTTGTGATTACCTGTAACTCGTTTTGATGTTGAAACTAATAAAAAGTTCTTTTTTAAATTAGTCCATTGAACAGAGTTCTTTGTGTTTCTTCAGTATGTGTATTTGAGGCCTTATTGGGCCATAACATAAAAAACAGGAAAGTCAAAAACTGTATTTGATTCTCGAACAGGAGTCCTGCGGCACCTCAGTGCGCCCTGTCCCACACACAGCCCAAAGCGTGGTCACAGCAGGGGATAACTGCTGCAGGCCCACTCCACAGTAGGCTCTGTCTGCATCACTCTTTAGCTAAGATATTTATTGCTGGGGGGAAAATTAATAGCTCCACATTCCAGTATTAAAACTAGAAATGACTGTTGATGTATAGTTCTGTTGTTGTTTCATTTTTGATGCAAGGTCTCAGCCCAGGTCCCCTCACACTCCTTATGTAGCCTAGCCTGGCCTTGAACTCCTAATCCTCCTACGCCTCCACCTCAAAGGTGGCAGGAATAAAGGAGTACCCTCACATGCCCAGCTGCTGATAGTTCTGAACATTGATCGATTGACGTGTGTGGGCATTTTGCTGCCTGGATGTCTGCGCCATGTGCATCCCCTGTGCCCATGGAGGCCAGAGGAGGGCATTGGCTCCCCTGGAACTGGAGCTACCGACCCTGGTGGGTGCTGGGAATTGAACTGGGGTCCTCTGGAAGATCATCTGGTGATCTTAACCGCCGAGCCATCTCTCCAGCACTTAATACTTAGCTTAAGTTATACAAGTCTGCTTTTTTATTATTATTATTATTATTATTATTATGTTTTTTTTGAGACAGGGTTTCCCTGTGTAGCCCTGGCTGTCCTGGAACTCATTCTAGACCAGACTGGCCTCAACTCAGAGATCCGCCTGCCTCTGCCTGCCAAGTGCTGGGACTAAAGGTGTGTGCCGCCAATGCCCAGCAAGTCTGTTCTTTTCAAGTTATTTAGCTATGCTTATTTTTGCTTTTCAAGACAGCATTTCATGTAGCAGTAGCCAACGCTGGCCTCAAACTCACTATGTAGCTGAAGATGATTTTGAACTCCTGACTCTACCTACCAGGTGCTGGGATTAAAGATATATACCAACATGACCAGCTTTTTGCTCTGTTCATACAAAATTTTATATGATAGAAAATTTATTGTAGTAATTAAGAGCTAGAGAAATGGTCCAGCGGTTAAGAGAACTGGCTGCCTTTCCAGAGGACCATGTTCCGTTCCCAGCCCCCACATGGCAGCTCACCACCGTGTGTAACTCCAGTTCCAAGACATCCAGGGCACTGCACAGACGCGGTGCACAGACACTCATGAGGGCAAAACGCCCATGCACGTAAAATAAGTCTCCACATAATAAGGAAATCTTCAAAAATAGCCAGGAATAGTGCTCCATGTCTTTAATCCTAGGACTAGGGAGTCAGAGGCAAGTGAATTTAAGGCCACCCTGGACTGCATAGTGAGACCCTATCTCAAAAGTAAACAGCTGCTCTGTTTGGGGATGGAAATGAACAGAACCCACAACTGGAGGGCAGGTAGCACCCCAGGTCTTCCCCACACTCCAGTCACCTTTACCAGAACACACAGAGGCAGGTGGCGAAGTCGCAGCTGGTCAAAATCAACCTGTTGCCAGACCGCATAGTTGCGTCTTTTTTCTAGTGCTCTGCAGGCTCAGGCTGAAGTCTGTATTCTTCTGGAAGCAAGGTTCTTTATAAGGTTGTAAGTTAAATGAAGGCAGAGCAAGCAGGTCCCTGGTCGCACTTCAGCTGCCTCCGTGGCTGTTCTGTGGAAATGACCCCAGGTGGCGCTTCTGATAACTTGGGGTTCAAAATGACCTCAGCAGGCTAGGGGTGTTTAGTGCTTGCCTAGCACACACTGAGTCCCAGGCTTAATCCCCAGCATCCTGGCAACACACCCCAAAATCGTTACCATCAGGATCCTATTTCACTTGGTTGATAACAGTAAGCTGAAACAAACAACAAGAAAAATATTAATTTTTTTTTTAAAAGCCATGTCTGAAAACACGACAGGTCTGAGTGTGACTCAACTGGTACAGTGCTTCTCTTCGTTTGCACGAGAGCCTGTGTTGGGTCCCAGGACCCATGCCACCAGGCACGATGGATGGTACAGGCCTATAGTCGTAGCGCTTGGGAGGAAGGCAGGTCAGGAGTTCACAGACATCCTCAGCTGAACAGCAAGTCTGACGTCAGCCTGGGCTGCAAGAAGCTGCGTCTGAAAAATATCAATGCAGGACAGGGCTAGGCATGCTAGTGCGTGTCTGAAATCTCAGCCCTTTGCATTGGGAGGCTGAGATTAGGAGGATCAGGAGTTTAGAGTCACCCTCAGCTATATACAAGTTCGAGGCTAGCCGGGGCTACGTGAAATCTTGCCTCTGAAAACCGTGAAACAAAAAGCACAGAATTGGACACTGTAAGATTTATGAAGGTCCATCCTGAGAAGTTGACCTCCTGAGAAGAAGCTGACTTAAAGTGTCATGAAACACATGCCAGCTGCCACGGCGAAGATTCGAAGTCTTGCCAAGGTTTCTCCAATCTCCCAAGACGAAGAGCCTGGGCGGCAGACGTGCTCTGTAGGTTAGGTCTTTATGTGGGGTGCTCAGTCACTGTTCTGTTCCGTGGAGAGGCACCGTGACCAAGGCAGCTCTGCTAAAGGAAAGCATTTAACTGGGGACTGACACGATCTCGGAATCTTAACCGAGAAAACGCCTCAATGAGACAGCGTGTAAGGCAAGTGTGTTGGACATTTTTTTTGATTGCCGAAGAAGCCCACTCTGGGTGGTACCGTTCCTGGGCAAGTGGTCTTGAGGCTTATAAAAAAAAGGCAGGCTGAGCAAACTAGCAGGAGAAAGCCTGATCTTGAAAACACCGAGTGGCCAGTATGGTGACCCCTGCTTGTCATCACAGCGCTTGGGATATGGAGCCGTGCGGGTCAGAAGTTCAAGGCCATCCTGAGCATATGAGACCCTGTCTGAAAACCCGCTAATGCTCTGTAGCAAAAGCGGGCATAAGTGAGGCACATCCATAACACTTGTATTTGGAAAGCCAAACGGATAATAATGGGTCCTGCACAGAGAGCAAAACAGAGGGCTGTTGTTCCATATGTGCGAGCATCAACAACCGTGTGCCGGGAAAGGAGAAAGCCGATTCACTCAGGTCGCACCCAGCCTTCCTATGCTCACGGAGGCTGGGAAGATGGCTCAGCGAATAAAAAAGCTTGCTGCCGCGCCTGACGACCTGAGTTCCGCCCCCAGGACCCACGGTGGACGGAGATAACTGACTGCCACACATCTGCTGTGGCATGCATGCTTGTATACACACACACTAACAATAATAACGAAGAAGAAACACTTTTAAAATTGTCAAAACATGGTGTGTGTGAGTGCGTGTGTGCATGTGCGCATTCATGCCTGTGTGTGTGGTATGTGTGTGTGGTGTGTGTGTGTGTGTGTGGTATGTGTGTGTGTGGTGTGTGTGGTGTGGTGTGTGTGTGTGTGTGTGTGGTATGTGTGTGTGGTATGTGTGTGTGGTATGTGTGGTGTGTGTGTGTGTATGTGTGTGTGGTGTGTGTGTGGTGTGTGGTGTGTGTGTGTGTGTGTGTGTGGTATGTGTGTGTGGTGTGTGTGGTGTGTGTGTGTGGTG